CAGATAACCACTCAAGTTGTCATCGAATCGTCATCCCATCGCACGGATGATGTATCTGTCGATGACGATGATGAAGAAGTTGACGTGGAGAGATGCGATTTTGACTCTGATGGACCACCGCAACTGCTCGATTTATCGTGCAGGTTTGTTTTCCGGTGAGATCGTTGTCTAATTTCGAAGCTATCATCAAATGCTTCCTCATTTACCAATCGAATCCTATTCGTCTCCAAATACAGCACTACATAACATTCTCGACTTCTATTTCATGCATCATACACATGAAGTGCTCATTATGAGTATTCAGAATCAATTTGTATTATAATTATGAGGATGAGAATTTATTTCGGACTCCATCCATAATAATTGTAAAAATCAGTGGCCTTTTATTATTGTTGCTTTCCCTGTCAAATGATGACAGCAATACTTTATTCACGACAGTTGAGTTCGAGAATTTCAGTGAAGCAAATCTTAAAGCATTATTTCATTATTTACATTCGACCATCCAAATGAATGTAGTGTTGTTTTCAGTTCGTCACGATCGGCTCNCTACCGTTCGGTACGGATGCAATTGAGGCCGAAGAACTAACCGATCTGAGTAAACAGCCACCGTCCATGCTCGTCGTCCCAGAACTCTCGCCGGATCTATGCGCTCAACTCTCCACTTCTTCAGAAACGCCATTTCCAGGCTCACCATCTCTGGCGTTCTCTAAGATTCTAGACAGTGCTGTGCAGAAATCATCAGATAAATGTGAATCTCAATCACAGTTCGACATATCGAATGAACATAATTCCACTGATGATTCAACAATAATCACAGCACCAAAGGCTAAGAAGTTCGCATTGAATCCATCATCATCCTCCTCAGATACTGACGGTGAAGAAAACGAGTTGGAGAGTCAAAATTCTGCTGGTACAGATTCCAATGATTCTCCACCATCAAGTTTCGAAATCAGTGAGGATGAACTTGAGCTCGAAATCGGCTCATCTTCGTCATCGTCGTCATCCGACGATAGCTGTTGTGAGGATGATGGCTATTACTACTCTGACGGTGAATACGATGAAAATGACTACAAGAATGTGGCCGACGCGAGGCAGAATGGCCACCACCACGATGGTCAGATGGCCGAAAGCGCTTGTGCTTCTCCTTTTTGTGGTGCTTCTGAATGTTCCACTCCGCCGCCGATTGGACGTCAAATATCACCGAATTCACGTCGCAAACGTCGTAAGCGCAAAACGTCCACATCGCCACGTAGTAGCCTAATGAGTAGTAGTGCACCACCGTCGTGTCCACGAGCGAAAAAATGCTGTACGGGCGATGGTCAGTTGACTGGTCTCATATCAGTTTTTGAATCCGGTTTATCGGTGATGGCCGATCAACTGATGCAACACGCTCATCAACACAGTGGTCGTCATTCTCATGCTCGTGATTGTATGCATCATGCTCGCCATCATCGTCATCA